CCAAAAAAGGTAAACGGCAAGACGCGAGGACAAAACAACCAGCAATTCCTGAGGAAATTCCTTGTCAAAATTGTGAATGGGACACTTCGTGGTGGAAACAACCATCACGTACTCTTTAATCCAGACTGTCGTGTCCCTGGTCTACACCAGCAAAGACAATAAATAGTGATTCACACTCGATGCTGAGAAATCCATTGAGTCACCTGTCTCTGTTCATTTCTGTGGATGGTGATGGGAGGAGTTATAGAACCAGCCTCCAAGCCTCCACAGAAGTCGGTCACTGTTTACTAGGGCTTGCTTTTGCCGTGGTATGAAAAGCCTGACTTTCAGGGAACTTGAGTCAATATGCTAAGGAAAAGTTTGGACCAGTTTCCCAAAAGCATAAACTATCCATATAACCACACAAACCAGAGCCCAAATATCACAGACCATCACCAGGAGTTCAGAAATCAAAAGCCTGACACCCAATTTGTGTTTCTAATTTTGCTCATGTGATAGCAGACTCTTGGGGGGGAAAGGAGGGCGGGTATGTCATCACTTTCTTCCTTTTAAATTTTCTAATCTCAAAATAGGATACTTTTGCATAATAATGTCACTCAATGATATGTCAATCTCCGACTAAGTCTATTAACAGTTATTTAACATACTACCTGCGAGAACTGCTCTAAAGACTACATAGAAAATTTACTTACACTTTATCAAATGTAGTGATTAGTCCCCATTTTTCAGATAAGGATGTGAGATCTCATAGACAGAAAGCAAACAGTACACAATGATTAAATGTGTGCTACCAGACTGGGTCTTTGAATATCCATTCTATTTTCAAATGCTGGAAAAAATACACGATAGGAAAATAGTAAGCCTAATATAGGAGTTAATGATTTCTCAAATTAAAACCACCCAAATGCAGCATTATTGCAAACTCATTCATTGTTGCAAACCGTGTGAAGGTCAAATGCAAAACCCCCACTATTTCCCTAATTATAATATCCTTAGCTATTGCTAAAATAGAAACTGGATTAGAAGTTGAGACTCCATAAAAAAAAACAAAAAGTGGAAACTGATATTATCAGAGGGAAGCTGAAGTTGCAAGGACACCTGGAAACTACTAGAAGACATTTAAAATGTTGTAAAGGGGGTGGCAGAGCTTAGCAGTAGCATAAGCTAATATACCCAGACAGCTTTCCAAAGTTTCATCCAATAGGCAGAAGGTTAATGCTTAACGGAGAACGTTTTAACGTCTCTTTTTAAGATCTTGTATGTAGTCATAATCAAACCATGCTCATTTTTAAAGATAAACAACCTTGGTATCAAGATTTGACAAACTCCAGATTTCAGACCAAGGGGACTCTTTTTCCTGTTTTTATAAATAAAGTTTTATTGGAAAACAGCTGGGCTCATTCAGTTAGGTATTGTCCATGGCGGTTCTTGCCTGCAATGTTCTACTTGAGTCTCACAACAGAGACTGTCTGACCACAAAGCCAAAAATATTTACTGTCTGGCACTTTGCAGAAAAAGTTTGCCAACCCCTGACCTAGAGGATTGTGGCATGTTTTTTTACAAAAAAAAAAAGTGAAGGAAGGAAAATCAGACTACTGAGGTCTTTGTAGACAAAGAAGAGCAGAGCTGAAATTCCATGCCCCTTCCAGACAGTGCCTGGTCCCAGGGCTGTGCCATCTGTCATTGGACCATCGTGACTAGATTGCAGAAGACGGCCAGTTGGTTTAACTGCAGTTGTGCACAGACAGGATTTGTAGAAAGAAAAGAGAAGTTGCCAGAGCCCATTAGCTTGAGATAACATTTTATTGAATCTTCACCCCATTGCCAAATTTCAGCTCCTTCTCTAGATCTCTGCCCAGCAGTCAAACCGATGCAGTACTTTCCATAAGAGATAATTATTTCTGTAGGATCTTAAACAATTCTCTGTGGAATGCAAATCTTTCTCAAAGCTGCGGTAGATAATACAGTTTAGAAGAGAATTGATGTTAGCTGTTTCACAGAAATGATGCTAAATTGGTTGAAATCACAGGAGAAAAAGCACTAGCAAATGAAGATAAGAAGGATGTGGTTGCATCAACCCTCAGGGCAGGGGATGCTTTAACCGGTGGAATCATGTGAGGGCTGGGGATATTTTAACCCTGGTTTTGGGGACAGAAGTGTACTCTCTCTCCCACAATTAACACAATTAACATTAGAGTAGGAAAGTCTGAAATCAAAACAGAACCTATAAACACTTACTGATCAATGACACCAATGGTTTCCTAATTATAGAACCAGTTTTGTTACTATAAAGATTAAAATGTTGAAGGGCTCAAATAACATTCTTCAAAGTATGGACAATATCACTTCTTGATATTAATTTATCTTTAAATAAAAAGTACTTGATCTTTCCTTAACAACATTTAGAGATCAACATCTCCCATATGTGTGAAACAATGGACTGGCTTATCTACCTATACTGGCTTTCTGCAATCTAAGGGTATCTTTAGATAACATGGCTACTCCAGATTGCTTTTCATTTTTGATAAAAGGACTGGATTAAGAGATACTGATACACTGTATCACTCAGGACATTAAGCAGAAAAAAATATTTTTCAGTTGTTTTTTTTTTAACTATTAGTTATTTGCTTTACATATTTGGGCAGTAAATCCACCCATACACAAATAGTTCTGTCTATGTTCTTTAAACCTAGATTCCACTACCATGAAATTGAGTTATTCTATTTTTTGGATGATATTAAAATGATATGGTAAATCTCCTTTTGAAATTACAAAAGTGCTTGTGTTCAAGTATGATACTTCTATTTATCAAGTACTAATTAATAGTGGTTTTGGGATGTGGAAAGTAATAGAGCAAGGATTTCATGAACAATTTTGTGTCTTTCAAGATACACTTGTAAGTCAAGCAAAACTTTTAAAAATGCTGGTCTGAATGGGCACTGTTTAAAAATCTTTGCAATTTCCAGAAACCAATATGAGGAGTTTTTTGAACCTTGAGTTGAATGTTTCATCGACCACCCAGGCCAAAGGCATTTCTACAGATCCTCTGAAAGACACCCATCCATTAAAAGGCCACAAGACAAAATGCCAAGTAGCACATCCCAGGAGGAGTGGATGAAGCCATGTCCTAGAAATTATTAAGTGAATATCTATTTTTAGTTTTGTGAATGAGCTATTCTATGTCCCAGTTGCTCTTAGGCTTAAAATAGGGAGACATTTTCCACACCCAACACGTTACTGAGCAACTTATTCTCCCTGAGATGAGCTCCCCTTTCTTTCCTTCTTTCTCCCTATTGGCACCTGGGTACCCATCTTTCTATCCTGCTTTAGCAGGACCCCTGGGTTCTCCAGCTTCCGGGTAGGTTAAAAGGAAACACTGAGAGGAGCAGAGCAGGCGGAGAGAGACAAGGGTGTTTACTTCTCGGGCTCTTTGTACCTGGGCTGCAAACAGCGGCATTGACTGTGCCCCCCACCAACGGCCACAATACCGGGAGGGAACCCCTTTGCTGTGTCCACAGCACTTATAGGCACAGGTGACACTGTTCTTGCTTCATTCATCTCTCCAAGCTCTGGGGTGGTGCCCACTGTTTTGTGGTGCACTTTACCAGCCCTCAGCAGCTCTTCTCTCTCTCCCCACACCTCAGCAAATGGATGCTCTTTTTCCTTTCCAGCTTTGTTGAAGTAAAATTGACAAAAAAATATTAAACTAAACATGTGAAAAGGATCACATCCCATTCATCTCACATAGTTGACTTTTTATGTGTGAGCACACAAGATGACTGTCTGAGCGAGTTTCAAGTGTTTCCGTCTTCAGTGGTCATTGTCCCCATGGAGTATATTAGGTCCCTAGAATGCGTGTGTTTTAGAGGCAGTAATGCGTAGCCTTTGATCAATAGTTATCTTCATCCTTATCCCCCTCTGCTCTCCTTAGCCAGCCTTCTACATCAGCTTCTGTGACTTTGATGCTTTTAGCTTCCATGGATAAGTGAGATCATATGTGATTGTCTTTTTGTATCTGGCTTATTTCATTTGGGTTAGTATACCCCAGGTCATCCATACGGCTGCAAATTGTAGGATTTCCTTCTTTTTATGGTTAAATGATATTCTGTGTGTTTGTATGTATCCTTTTTTTCCATTTTCAAATCATCCATTAATCCATCATTAAGCACTTAGATTGTTTCTGCATCTTGGCTATTGGGAACAATACCTCCAGACACATGGCAAGACAGATATCGATCGGCAATAAAGTAATGTTGACAGTGTGTGGAGACATGGAAGCCCTTGTGTACGGCCTTAGGAAATGAGGCTGGTAAAACCATTGAGGAAAAAAAATTGAAGGCTTCCCAAAAAATTCAAAACGGACCTTCTGTGTGGTCCAGTAACAGATGCTCTGTCAATACTTCGCACTTACTAACCATTTGTTTGTGCCCTTGCTAGCTGTGAGATCTTGCCTGATGGTGTGTTATTGGATGCTTACAAATATCCTACAGCTGATTTGTTTTCAACCATTATCAGTAAAGATTAAATGTAAAATAAATAAAGATAAGGCATGTAGCAGGCTGACTTTTAGGCGAATATAGTTCAAATGGAAATTGTGTTCAGTGCATTTTGTGTGACATTGTAGAAATTGGAAGTCCTATTTCTCAATGTATTTTAGCCTTCTACTCAACATTAGTTCCCCTCGATTTCTAGTAAATTTATTCTAAAGTGAAAGGCCATCGTAGGCAGGCATGTAACCTGTTGATCTTCTTTGTAAATGTGACTTGCATGAAGCCATGGGAAGAGAGACTGACCGTTACTAAGTTTTCCCACATGATGACCATGGTGTCAGTCATTTAACAGAGCCCTGTCCCATTTTTTTTCCTTTGGCCATCAGGTATTTATTATTAGACTTAATTGCAAATGAACAAACTGAATCTCACAAAAATTAAGCTGGTCTCCCTGAGAGCTAACAACTTCTGGGTCTTTTGTCAGTGATTGGCCCTTTGTCAATTTTGCAGGTTCCTGTAATTTCTGGTGGCTGACATACACCTGTGTGTTCATCCTGGTCTTCCACCCTTTGTGTCCCTTGGAATTCTCAAGTAAGTCTATGACTCTGTGACACTTAATTTCCATCAGCCACATCCAGCCAGAGGTAGGTACACAATCCCAACAGCCCAAACGACAGCCTTCAAGAGAAGCCTCCTTAGAAGGACTTTAACATCCTTAGAACTTAGCAAGCAAGAACATAGTTTCATTTGTCCCAAACCACAACATTTAAATCTTGTTTCCCCACCAAGGAGACTGAGGGTGTTGGGACACTTCTCAGTGGACCACAGCATGGAGAACAAGCTTATCCTCTTGGATCCGTCTAACACATGATCAGAGTCTTCTTGTGGAGGATATATCATCACACATTTTTCTATGTCGGGCCACACTAGCTTTTTCTCTGATGTATATGGAATAATTAACCTGTATTTTTCTCTTTCAAGATCTATACTCTTGCAAGTAAACAGTGCTTTCAACTTATGGCACTCCTAAAACTGTGATTTCCTTTTTTTTTTTTTTTTTTTTTTTTAAAAGCTGGCAAGACATCTTCCTAGTGATTCATGGACATCTGAGCTAATTCCTTACTGCCTGGAAGAAATGTATGACTTCTGCAACATACCCTCTCTATACCTATAGAGGTCAGAGGCCATGCCAGTGTCTTCTACACTTAGGTCTTTATT